CAGAATTAAAGGGAAAACAAACTAACAAAGGAAGACCAGACATACGAATAACAAAATGGCAATAAACATGTACCTATCAATAATCACCTTAAATGTAGATGGGCTAAATGCTCTAATCAAAAGACATACAGTGCCTGAGTGGATAAGAAAACAGGACCCATGCATATACTCATCTCAGATCAAGAGATACACACAGGGGAGGCCAGGTGCCCCAGTAGGTTGGAGCACAAGCTCTGGGCAACAGTGTTGCCGGTCCAATTCCGACATGGGCCAGTGAGCTGCACCCTTTGCAACTAGATTGAAGACAACGACTTGGGATGAGCTGCTGCTGAGCTGCCGGTGGGCGGCCAGATAGCTCAGCTGGTTAGAGAGTGTGCTCTTAACAACAAGGCTGACAGTTAGACTCCCACATGGGATGCTGGGCTGGGCCCCCTCGCAACTAGATTGAAAGCGGCGACTGGACTTGGAGATGAGCTGTGCCCTCCACAACTAAGATGGTAGGACAACAACTTGATTTGGAGCTGATGGGTCCTGGAAAAAACACATTGTTCCTCAATAAACTTAAAAATTAAAAAAAAAAATACGCACACAGACTGAAAGTAAAGAGATGGAGTGAGATATTTCATACAAATGGAAATGAGAAAAAAGTAGGAGTACCAATATTTATTTAGGACAAAATGGACTTTAAAATGAAGACTACAATAAAAGACAAAGAAGGGCACTACATAATAATAAAGCATTTATACAACAAGAGGACATAATCCTAGTAAACATCTGTGTACCCAACATAAGAGCTCCTAAATATATAAAACAGTTTATGACTGACATAAAAGTCAGAGATGAACAGTAGCACTATTGTGGTAGGGGATTTCAACACCCCTTTGTCACCAATTGACAGATCCTCCAGACAGAAAATCAACACAGAAACACTGGCCTTAAATGACACTTTAGACCAGTTGGGTTTTTAATTGATATTTTTAGAGCATTTCATCCCAAAGCATCAGAATATACATTTTTCTCAAGTGCACATGGAACATTTTCCAAGGTAGACCACATGCTAAGCCACAGAACAAGTGTCAATAAATTTAAAAAGACTGAAATCATATCAAGCATCCTCTCTGAACACAATACTATGAAACTAGAAATAAGTTATAAGAAGAAATCCAGAAAACACACAAATACATGGAGGCTGAATAATATGTTACTAAATAGCGAGTGGGTCAATAACGAGATCAAGGAAGAAATCAAGATATATCGCGACAAACAAAAATGAAAACAAAACAGCCCCAAATCTATGGGATGCAGCAAAAGCAGTCCTAAGAGGAAAATTCACAGCAATGCAGGCCTATCTAAAGAAACAAGAAAAATCTCAACAGGCTATCTTTACACATAAGGGAACTGGAAAAAGAACAGCAAAACAAGCCCAAAGGGAGTACAAGGAAGGAAATAATGAAGAACAAAGCAGAAAAAAATGAAATAGAGACAAACAAAAAAAATACAAAAGATCAATGAAACCAAGACCTGGTTTTTTGAAAAGATAAACAAAATCGACAAACCCTTAGCCAGACTCACCAAGAAAAAGAGGGAGAGGATCCAAATTAGTAAAATTGGAAATGAAAGATGAGAAGTGACAACAGATACTACGGAAATACAGAAAAATTTAAGAAAATACCATGAGCAACTATATGCCAACAAATTTGACAATCTGGAAGAAATCGATAAATTTCTAAAAGCATACAATCTTCCAAGACTGAATCAAGAAGAAACAGAAACTGAACAGACTGATTACTACCAAAGAAATTGAATCAGTAATCAACAAGCTCCCAACAAAGAAAAGTCCTAGACCAGATGGTTCACAGGTGAATGTTACAAAACATTCAAAAAAGAATTAACACCTATGCTCCTCAAGCTTTTCCAAAAATACAGGATGGAAGGCTCCCAAGCACATTTTATGAGAGACTATTACTCTGATCCCAAAATCAGACAAAGACATTACAAAAAAAAGAAAACTATAGGCCGATATCACTAATGAACATAGATGCAAAAATTCTCAACAAAAGATTAGCAAACAGAATTCAGCAATACATTAAAAAGATCATACACCACGATCACATGGGATTCATTCCTGGTATGCAAGGTTGGTTCAATATCCACAAATCAGTTAGCGTGATACACCACATCAACAAAATGGAAATAAAAAATCATATGGTCATATCAATAGATGCAGAAAAAGCATTTGACAAAATCCAGCAGCCATTTATGATAAAAACTCTTAGCAAAGTGGGAATAGAGGGGTCATGTCTCAACATAATAAAGGCCATATATGATAAGCCCACAGCTAACATCGTACTCAATGGGGATAGGCAAAAACAAGACAAGCCTGCTCACTTTCACCACTTTTATTCAACATAGTTCTGGAAGTACTGGCCACAGCAATCAGACAAGAAAATGAAATAAAAGGCATCCAAATTGGAAACGAGGAGGTAAAACTGTCATTATATGCAGATGATACGCATGATACTCTATATGGATAATCCCAAAGACTGCATCAAAAAACCTATTAGAACTGATAAATGAATTCAGTAAAGTAGCAGGATACAAAATTAATATTCATAAATCAGTTGCATTTGTATACAACAATAATAAACTATCTGAAGAAGAAATCAAGAAATCAATCCCATTTACAATTGCTTCAAAAACAATAAAATACCTAGGAATAAATTTAACCAAAGAAGTAAAAGACCTGTACTCAGAAAATTATAAGACACTGAAGAGAGAAATCAAAGAAGATATAAATAAATGAAAATACATACCATGTCCATGGATAGGAAGAATTAATATAGTTAAAATCTCAATACTACCTGAGACAATGTATAGATTCAATGCAATTCCTATCAAACTACCAATGACATTATTCTCAGAAATACAACATAATCCTAAAATTTATATGGACCCATAAAAGACCCCGAATAGCCACGGTAATCTGGAGAAATAAGAACAAATTCAGAGGTATCATGCTACCTGAAATCAAATGATACTACAAGGCTATAATAATCAACACAGTATGGTACTGGCATAAAAACAGACATGTAGTTCAATGGAATAGAGAGCCCAGAAATAAACCCATCCATATACGGTCATTTAACCTATGACAATGGAAGCAAAAATTTACATTGGGGTAAAGATAGTCTATTTAATAAATGGTGCTGGGAAAACTGACTGACGTGCAAAAAAATGAAACTGGACCAACTCCTTATACTATATACAAGAACAAATTCAAAATATATTAAATACTTAAACATAAGATCTGAAATCATAAAACTCCTAGAAGAAAATATAGGGAGTAAACTGGCAGACATTACCCTGAGTAATGTATTTACTGATATTTCCCCTCGGGCAAGAAAAGTAAAAGAAAAAACAAACATATGGGATTACATCAAACTTAAAAGTTTTTACACAGCAAAGAAAACCATCAATAAAACAAAAAGGCAGCCTACTGAATGGGAGAAGATATTTGTCAATGATATATCTGATAAGGGGTTAATATCCAAAATTTATAAAACACTCATTCAACTCAACACCAAAAAAAACAAAGAATTCAATTAAAAACTACACAGAGCATATGAAGAGACATTGCTTTAAAGAGGACATACAGTTGGCCAACAAACATATGAAAAAGTGCTCAGCCTCCCTAATCATTAGAGAAATGCAAATAAAAACCACAATGAGATACCACCTCACTCCGGTCAGAATGGCTATCATCAACAAATAAGACACAACAAGTACTGGCGTGGTTGTGGAGAAAAGGGAACCCTGGTGCACTGTTGGTGGGATTGCAGATTGGTGCAGCTGCTATGGAAATCAGTATGGAGGTATCTCAAAAAAACTGGAAAAGAAACTACCATATTCCACTCTTAGGTATCTATCCAGAGAAACCCAACACGCTAATTAAAAAAAATATATGCACTCCTATATTTGCTGCCACGCTGTTTACAATAGCCAAGACTTGGAAACAACTGAAATGCCTGGTAAGAAACTGTAGTACATTTATACAACGGAGTATTACTCAGCTATAAAGAAGACTGAAATCTTATCATTTGCAACGATACGGATGGACCTAGAGAACATTACGCTAAATAAGTCAGTTGGAGAAGGACAAATACCATATGATCTCACTTACATGTGGAATCTAAAGAACTGAATAAATGAGCAAAGTAAACAGAAATAATCTCAGAGATATAGAGGAAAAACTGATGGTTGCTAGATGGGAAGGGGGTGAGGACGAGGGAGAGGGGACTAGAAGGGATTAGACAGCATAAATTGGTAACTACAGTATTGCCACAGGGATATGAAACACAGTTTGGGGAGTATAATCAATAATGTTGTAAATATTTTATAGGGTGTCAGATGGGCCCATGTCTTGTTAGGGAGACCACTCCATGGATGCTGTAGATGCCTGACCACTGCACTGTATACCTGAAGCTGAATAACACTGTATGTCAATTATAACTGAATATATACATAGTCACAGGATATGGAGTATAGTATAGGGAATAGTCAATGGAATTGTAATAAATATATACAATGTCAGAGGGGCAATAAATTGGGGGAGAGGGGATATCACTTTGTGAGGGGTGAAATGTATAACTATTACACTTTTTTGTACACCTGAAACTAAATAATAATAAAAAATAAATAAATAAATACATAAATAAATAAATAAATAAATAAAAAAGAAAACCCAGGCTCATTCAAACACAAGAATGATGGGGATAGGACTGAACTGTGAGAAAGTTTTCTGCTTCATCATAAATAAATATTTTACAAATTTCACATATAAGAAAACCACATAAGCATATCTTCTGTAAATGCATAAATAACACTAAGTAGTATTGCTATCTGCTGTAATTGAAAATTGCGAATGTTCTCTCTTCCTATAGAAACTTTCCTATTCTTTTCCTTTCTCCACTCTCCCCCAAATTGACAGACATTAGACTTACCAATAGTTTTATCTCTATTCACCTTCCAAACCAATGGCCCTTCATGAATCATCTTCCTTTTTGTCAAATCCAAATTCTGCCAAAATAAAAGGAATTATATACAAATTATTTCCAAGCACTTACTTAGTAAGGTAATATTCCATATATAGTCTCCTTTCAAGAAATTCTTATTCACTTTTATTATTGACATCTGTCAACTACTGACAATGGAATAAGGACTACATTAAAGTAAGCTGCATAGAATTTTCTCAAAAGGAAAAGGTATCTTGAAAAACATTCAGAAGTATTGTCTTCTAAATCTAACTCTAAATAGATGACAATAGCTTATGAAAATAAAGTTGAAAACATTCAGCCGCTAGTATTTCAACCCACTGTCCTATAAATAACTTGATGAGGATAATGCATAGCTTATTTTTAAGAGGCCTCTGGGTTCCAGGCTCTAGTTCCAAAGAAACTTCTAAGGAATAGCACTTATGAAAAATCCAGGTAGTACTCAGGCTTGCTCTAAATATTAATAACTTAGTAAGAGAATCACTGTTTAGTACAACTAGTTCTAGAAAAGCCTCATTCTCTGGATGGGACTAAGCACAGTAGCATGCTTTTTGATAAGCTGTTATATATCACATAAAAGTCTATTTTAACAACTACCAAATACATCTGCCAAAATAATCACCTAGTGAAACAGTACAAGAAAGGTTTATTAAAATCCTAAGCAGTTACTTAACAGGAAAGCCTCATGTATAAGAAATGACAATAAATATTTTACTATAATTTCTGTGATGGTTTCAATTTTTATGCTTCTGAAGAGCTTTACCAAAAAATAATTGTTACCTTGCTCTACTCAATAATCTGGCAAGTTCCCATAGTAAACAGCCCTTACTCTTGCTCAAACTATACAACACAATAAAACTAAACTTTATAATGTTCCGTAGTCTCCTGCAAATTCTGATCACAAAAGTTACAGCCTCACACAAAATACTCCTCTCATGAAAAACTAAAGTAATCTTCACACAGAAGAAAAATTTAAAACAAAGAATAGAATCATAAATATACACACTCCATAACTCCTTTAGGTGATGTACATTTCTATTGAGATGTTAATTACCTGCCTAGTCTTAGTCAATTTTATTTTTTAAATTATTATTAGGCCATCTCTCACCCTGAGCTCTTCAACATTTGGGTACTCTGACAACTTCAGATTGGAGGTATCAAGGCGACGCTGATAATCTTCTAAGCGCTGAAAATTAGACAGGATGGTGCAAGGTTACTGCTTTGGATATCAATGACCTCCCTATTCCCAAATCAAATGGACATTTTTTACCTACATTTTATTGAGCTCTCTGCAATATTAGTCAAAACTGACAACTCACTCTTTCTTAAAACACTCCTTTCCCTTGACTTTGAAAACTCTCCTCGTTTTCATCTTACCTCTTTGGCTGTTCTTTCACAATCTTTTCAAACTCATTGGCCTCTAACTAGCTTGTATTTATTTTCTGAATATGTAAATCATGTACATGGTACAAAATTCACAAGGTAATGCAAGGCACTCAATAAATATAAAAAGTAAGTCTCCCTCCAAACCTGTTCTGCCTTCCCACTCCCAATTTTCTCTAAAGAAATACCCATTTCTTGGATAGCCTATGAGAAAAAGTCTAAGCAAATAGAATACGTCGTTTGTGTACGCTTGTCTCTGTGCATTTTATGTATGTATATCCTAATATATTCCTATATGTATTACTTATTTAAATGGTAACATAATATGTTCATATACACATTTTTCTGTATATGTGTGTCGCTCATCAATATATCTTGGAGATTGTTCCACATGAGCACATATAGAGATAGCTGTCTCATATTTTTAATGGCTGCATGGTATGCACTCTGTGAATGAACTAAAGTTATTTAAGTACACCTTACTGATGGACATGTACGTTATTTCAAATCATCTCCTATAACAAATGATACTGCAATAAAATGGCCTTAAACATACACTTTTGTACACATGTGTAGATATATTTGTAGGATAAATTGCTAAAGAAGAAAATGTTAGAAAGCGTATATATATTTTCCCCCACGTTTATAAAAATTAACAAATACAAAATTTAAATGTGTAAATACCCATACACTCACCACCTACATTCTACAATTAACATTTGCTATATTTGTTTTATCATGTATATATCCTCCAGTCATCCCTCTATCTATCCATCAATCCATCTTGCATTGTGGATGCATTTCAAAATAAGTTACAGACATAAGAATACTTCTCAACATTTTAGCATGTGTATAACAACAGTTCAACATTTGTTTACAGTTCTTTCTATAAAGTAAAATTATATACAGTGAAATGCACACATTTTAAATGTACCTTTCCACAATTTTTACAAATGCGTATGGCTTGTAATCAAACTCCTACCAAGATATAAAATATTACCATCACCCTCATACTTTTTCTTAATATCTGTCTCCACATCCCCAGTGACAACTACTCTTCTGATTTTCTTCCACCATAGATTAGTTTAGCCTGTTCCAGAAATTTATATAAATAGAATTATATGTATATACTCTTCTGTGTCTGGTTTCTTTCACTCAGCATACTGTTTGTGAGATTCATTCATGTTTTTCATTCCTTTTCATTCCTGGTATTATTCCAGTTTATGATTACACCACATTTGGTTGATGTTATAAACATTCTTATACAAGTCTCTGGGTAAATCACAAGAAACAGAATTGCTGGGTCAAAGGGTAGATGTATGAATATGTACATTTTTAATTTAGATAAATATTGTCAAATTGCCCTCTGGGGTTTTATCATTTTATACTCCAAACATTATACTTGGGAGTACCTGTTTTCCTACAGACTCACCCACAGAGTTGTCATCATACTCAGTTCCTAAGAAAATTACATCCAGGTCCATGGATTCAATTAGCCTCTATATGTTCACAATATTATATTTTTATCTTTAGCATAGTTCTCTTAGAGGTAGGTCCATGTCGTCAATTCCTTACTGTATATTCTCACCTGATATCCCAAACTGAACTCATCATCTCTCCCACAAATCTGGGGCTTCTCCACTGATCTAGTCCATCCAAATGTGCAAGCCAGAAACCTGGAACTTATTCCTGACATCACCTCTCTTCAAATCTTCTCTAAATCAGTCACGAAGTGCTGCCAATTTTACCTTCTAAATACTTTTCCAATTTTTCCACTTCTCTAAGCCACCATCATCTATCCTGGACTGCTGCTACAAGAGACTACTAACGGAGCTTTCATCTGCTCTCTGCCCTCTTCAACCCATTCTCCATACCAGAGATGAGTGATCTGAACATGCTATTCTCCTTCTTAAATATCTATAATGAATTCCTACTGCTCTTAGAAAAAATAAAAAATCTTTAACATGGTTTATAAGGCCCTGTATGACTTGGCCCTGGCCTACTGTATCTCATTTCATAACTATTACTTTAAATTTAGGCATGATCCACAGTAATCTAATCTTTCAGCTCCTCAAAGAGACCATGCTTTTTTTTTTTTAATCCCAGGTTTTTCCTACATGCTACTCTACCTTTAAGGTTGCCCCCTTCCACATCATTTTATTTCATTCCCAGTCATCCTTCAAAGCTTGGCTTAAATGTCAATTCTCAAGCAAGCGTTCTCTGATGGCCACCGTCTAACATCCCCAAACCAGACTAGGCCCCCCACCCCTAGTTACACTCCTAGCATCCTGACATTCTCCTTCATAGCAGCTGTCACAACTGATATATAAAATACTTGCACTATAATTTATTCAATGCCTTTCTATCCTGCTGGAAAATAAGCTCAATGTGGACAATTATTGTACTCATTTTTTTAAGCACTCTATACCCTACAGTCAGCATACAGTAGATACTGTAATAAATATTCGTTAAATGAATAGATGAATGAATGAGCAAACAAGCAGAGATGCTCAAAAAGGTCAAAGGCAACTCTGATGTTCTATCACAAACTGATATGAACCTACCTACTACAGGAATAGTTAAATATCCCGCCATTCAATTATGTAATGATAATTTCAATTATTATTTCACAGACGCCAGGTAACACTAATTTAATATTCTCACTGTGTCATCCTGTATCTTCTTGCTTTTCCCTTCTTACCTGCTTGTTTTCTGCCTCTTTGACAGCCTGATTTACATAATTTAAAATCTGACGACAGTGATCTGCAGCTTTCTTCACCTTCTCCCTTTCCATTGGCAACTCTTAATAACGGGGAGAAATACAAAATGTAAAATGGAGAAAATCAGAAAATATAAATATATAAACATTAAATATATAAACATTAAATATATGTATAATATATGAGATATCATTTTATTTGAACAGTTATAAGAATATACTCAGACCTTGAATATTTTTATACCAGGCTAAAACCTATGGCGGAATCTCAATTCAGGGTCTTTAACAGGTGAGGCTTCTATGACAGTACTTTAAAACACAAATACTAATCTTTAAAAAGAAACCATACCACTTCCCCAATTCCCCAACACTGTTCCTCTCCCGAATTCCCCAATAAAAATCTTTAAAAAAATAAAAAATAAATAAAATAAAAAGAAACCACAATATAGAACACTAAACGCAAGGAGAGTTGCTTTATATGAAGTATCAGACCCACTATGTTTTTTTTTTAATTTTTTAAAAATTAAATTTATTAGGGTGACAATGGTTAATAAAATTACATAGGTTTCAAATGTACAATTCTATAATACATCATCTATATATCACATTGTATGCTCACCACCCAGTCAGTTCTCCTTCCATCACCATATACGTATTTGTCCCCCTTTACCCTCTTCTACCACCTCTACCCCCACTTACACTCTGGTGACCATTAAATTGTTGTCTGTGTCTATGAGTTATTGTTTCTTTGTTTGTCTCAGGCCCACTATGTTTTCATTCACATTGTAAGCAATATAAATGGGACACTTTCCTCCCTAGAATTTCACAGTGCACAGCATATGTGATTATGTCCTGTGCACCTGTTAAGCAATATTTTTTGAATGGTAACACAATTCAAAATAACTCTAAAATAAGTTTCTTTGAATTTGAGATGATATTTAAGGAAAGAAAATAGATGAGAACATTTGTACCATTAAAAGAAGATGAAATTCACCAAAATGTGGTGAGGTTATATGGATGTCTTCAGTGTAAAAAAATACCAAAATCAGAATATTCAAAATTATAATCCTCCAAACATAGTTCAACTATAATGAACAGATATATTAAAGTATAAAAATCTATGTGTATGACTGTTTTCAAATTCTCATGCATGAGAAACAGGAGTTTGATTGCATAGAATTATGAATGAGAACTAATGAGAGCTAAATTACTAATTGAGCCTAAAGCTTAATTGAGAAATTTAGATTCACTACATGTTTGAAGACAGGACAGCTGAAATTATAACTCATCGGTTAGGCTTAATGAAAATATACACACACACACACACATTTCTTCAGTCCAGCATAAGCCTCTTCAAAGGAAATATGATACATGCTAGACAGAGGAAGAATTGGTAAACTTTTTCTGTACATAGCCAGATAATAAATATTTTACACTTTACAGGCCAAACGGTATTTGTCACAACTACTGAATTTGCGGTTGTAGTGCAAAAGCAGTCAGAGACAATATTTCAACAAATGAGCATGACTATGTTCTAATAAACTTTACAACAATAGGTGATTAGCTAGATTTGGCCCATGATCCATAGATTGCCATCCCTGTGCTAGACCTATTAATGGAGTACATCAAATCAAATATCCTAAAGGAGACTGGATTGAATCTTACTAGAAAATTTTGCTATACTACTTGTAAACCTCCAGGCACCAGGATGCTGTGAGAGATTATTTAGCAAAACATGGCTTTTTTTTTGTTCTTAAGCTTTTTAATTTCAGTGAAAATGCTATACCTGTGTATTTGGCAATATTATCCAACAAAAGAGGGTACTTAGTAAGCCTCTGCATTTGGGTAGGAATGATATCCTTCAGCTGCAAACGACGACACAGTGGATTACTCTCAGCATCCTAAAATTAAAATGAAATAAGTGAATTTGTAATTGTTATTAGGACTATACCTAAAACGTACCATATAACTCATCATGTAAGTCTCTACAGCATCAGCTCTGCTCTCTCTTTTAATCATATAATGGGGGAAGAGAGCCTTTATCACTAAACCAATGACGTCTTTGTTATCTGTTGAAGCAAGGACTGAGAACACCCATAAGCAACTCTAAGAATTGTTTTGTTGTGGTAAAACAGATTTACTTTCACATATTCAGAAAATCTAGTTACATTTTCCTATAATTGGCATCCCTACCAAAAGCAAGTCAGCTAATTTGCTGGCTGCCATTCCAAGTAGGCACAATGGGTCACCAGTCTGAATATACCAGGTCATCTATAAGAGGGACTGCAAACTGTTCACTAAAGTGCCAGAGTAAATATTTTAGGCTTTGCATGCCATACAGTCTCTGTCACAACTACTTAACTCTGCTGTTTTGGCACAAAAGCAGCCATAGATAATACGTAAATGAATGAACATGGCTATATGTGGTAAAGAGTTCTAAGATTGCCAACAAAATTCCCACTGTCTGGTATAATACCCTGTCTAATCCCCTCCCTTGAGTGTGGATAGAACCTGGAATATTATGGGATATCACAACTATGATTAATCAGGTTACTATCAGTTGACTTTGAGTTAATCAGGAGTGTCTTAGGTGAGTGTGACTTAATCAGTGGAATCTTTAAAAGAAAGCTCTGTCATGGAGATGTGTTCCTACTGGCCTATAAGAACGCAAACATCCATCTGTAAACATATATGGGGGCCACATGGCAAAGAGATATGGGCGTTCTCTAGGAACCAAAAGCAGTTCGTAGTCAACGATAGCAAGGAGATAAGAATTTCGGTTATACATTTACAAGGAAATGAATTCTGCTACCTGTGACCTTAAAAGATGACCCCAAGTCTCAGATGAGAATTGCAGCTCCAGCTGACACCTTGATATCAACTTGGTGAAATCATGAAGAGAGGACCCAGCTAAAGTAATACCTGTACTACTCAACCACAAGAACTGTGACATAGTAAATAATGTATGCACTGTTTTCAGTTGCTATGATTGTGGTAATATACTATACTGCAATAAAAAACTAATACACAGTTTTCCAATAAAACTTTTATTTACAAAAACAGGCAAGAGGCTAGATATGACCTGTGGTTATAGTTTATTGACCCTCGATCTATACTAATATATACCTCAATAAGTATGATTGCTGTTATACTCTTCCCTGAGCTTGATATAAGCCTATTCACATGCTTTTACAATATTATTTTAATAGTGTACATGGGCCATTTCCGAACAATATCTTCATGGCAATGTGGACTTCTATGTCAAGTATTTTAATCATGATATATATTCTTGTTTTCACCATTCCAATATCATCTTTATACCTTCCAGTCATTTAAGAGAGAATTTATGGCTTTACAAAATATTAACATAGGCTGGCCGAGTGGCATGTTGGATAAGAGCTGACTTGGGACGCCAGCTCTGAGTAGCAGGACCTTGGTTCAGATCCCACATGAGGGCCAGTGACACTGCACTCTGCAGCTAAGATGGTGAACAACAGCTCGACTTGGAGCTGGGCTGCCGTGAGTTGCCGGCGACAGCGTAGGCTGCAGTCCCCTGCTGCAGTGGGCTGCCATAAGCTACCATGAGTGGCCATCAGCCAGCGTGAGTGGCCGGCAGCCGCTGTGAGCTGCCAAGAGCTGCCGCAAGTGGCCGTCCAGAGGCCGGCGACCGATCTGCCTCAACTGGGAAGAGTGCAATGGGCGAGTGAAGCAACGTCCTCCACAACTAGACTGAAGAACAAAAGGACAGCAACTTGTCTGTTCCCCTCCCCCAATTCCCCAATAAAATCTTAAAAAAAAAAAAATATATATATATATATATATATATATATATATATATATATATAAAACATAGATATAATTCTTATAAAAGACTTAGTCTTAGTCAGAATTCCCTCAGTTTATTCTATAATTTAAAAAATGAATTTTTTTTTCTTTTTCTTACAGGACTCACTCTACTCACTTGAACAAAAGTCTGGAATCGAGAATCCTTTTTCTGACGAGATTTGATCATTTCCAGGGCAAAAGGTTGGTTACTGCAAAAGGTAGCAGCAGCATGTTTCAACTTCTCCTCCCCTGGTCCACTGAACTGTGCCGAGAATGCAAAGAATAGAGAATGGGATACTGAGCTGATATAAGGCCAGGCAAAATGAGATACAATCACAATCCTTTAAATATTCTCAAATGACAAGAAAACTACATGTACATGTGGAATATCAATGTTTCTCCATTAATAACATTTGACCACGACACATCCAGACCTTTTGATTATATTCCAATGTTTTCTTGCTCATAGCCTCCCATACTTATTACCTTTTCAGTCTATACCACTTCTAAATTAGATAGAAAGGGTGACAATTGGGGAATATGAGATATAAAACACTTACAGGCTGAGATTAAAATTTCATTTTCTTAGAATCTGACACAGTCACAGAAATTACTCTCTTATTGCCCCAGGAAGAAAATCCTGGGGTCTAGCTTGCTTTCTTACTATAAAACCCAGGCCAGGTCAAAACTTTTCTGAGTCACAATAAAATTACATCATCACTGCTTCACCAGGGTAGAACCTAGAGATCCACGCCCTGAATCTCTCTTGGGGAAGATACATGAGCCTCTGAACCTCTTTGGCTAAAAATTATACTTTTTGCTGATATTTTTAATTTGTAAATTTAAGTTTGTATACTCCATGATTTTAAAGTTTCTGATAAAATACCTAACAAGTGCCTCACTCAGAATACTCTTACAAATATAGGTCAAATAAATTATTTTTTAACCATCTATATATTTATAATAATTGTTTTTATGGTTTACTAAGAATATTTTAATATAATCTCCCTTTTAAAGCCATGTTTCCAAAAGTTTGTACATAAAGGTATTTTGTGAAAAAATCTTTTAGTGGTGCATTTGTAGATAATATAAATTCAGACTATTTTTTCAACTAGGACACATACAAAGTGACATTTTAATAGGTTGCTCCAATGTTGTATTCTTATTTTATTATAAATATGACACTAAATATATTAAAAGAGACTGGCAGCATTTTGGAATGTTAGTCAATCAAAAGTGCCACACAAATACTAGCAGCAGCTGGGTTTACAAAAGAAAACAACACCCCCAACCTCAAGCAGTTTTAAAGCAGTTTTATAAGTAGCTTAAGTATCCATAAGGTAATCGTAAGGGACCAATACCAGAAAAATATTCTCCAAAACTATTTTTAAAAATAGAGTAAATCTAAAGGCCTATTTACGATTTTTGCTTTTACTACCGGGGGTGTCAAAAAAAATGTATACACATGACTTGTATTCATTTTTTGTTACCGGTATATATTGAATCTTACAATTTTAATAGTTTTTCCCTTTCTTAAAATGTGTATACATTTTTTTCTCCATCATCTGTATTTATGGCAAAGACTTTGCCCTAAATTAACCTTTTGTACTTAATAGTTTTGTACCACATTGGTTAGTCCACTCCAATTTTTTATAGGTACATCATATTGGTCGAGAATACACTTCATTTTACATGTACTAAAATAAATTTTTCCCCACTCTATTAACAGGTTTCTCCACTTTGTTTTACCATGTAGTAGATTTATGTAGTTCAGCGGACTGTGATAAGAGAACCAACTGCACTTCTGTATCTTATTAATGAAAAATCTCACTTGAAACGTGGTTTAAACACTATTAATGCAAATGAAACTGCTTAGGAATCAAGATTGATAGCTTCAGTCCATGTGACTTACAACTTTATAATCCACATTTGACATGAAAATGGATGCTATATCATGCCATATTACAAATTTTCTGTTTCAAGTTCAGTAGTGTGCTGCCAAGCCAACAGAACTGAGTTATAACTTTCACTGCTATACTGAGGTCAAGAAACAAAATGAGACACACTATCACAGAGTAGCCACAGAGTAAGTTAATTTTTCAAGGAAGTTAAAGCTCCTTAATAATAATAATGCTAGCGTGGGCCTAGGGAGAAAATGCTTTGGAAAGCTCAATAAATGCAAGATGAGACTGGATTATGATTCCCTGACCCTATTCTACAAGGTAAGTGGCTAAGAAGAGATCTACTATTGGATTAGCAGATTCTATCCAGGCAATGATCTCACCATCAATGAAAGGAGTACGATACAGATTATTTTAGTCAATTTTCAGTATTTAATCTTTTAAAAAGTTATCATTGTAAAAAAAAGAAAAAAAGGAATAAACAGACAAATATTGGAAAGTTTCATATCACTCTATCAGCAATTGATAGAACAAATAGACAATAACACAATAAAAATGAAGGTTTGAACAATTAAAAAAAAAGTTATCATTGTAGAATTACCAAAATCTTATGGCTTTTCCTCAAGCAGTCTACATATTGAAGTAAATTTCTGTGGGCATATCTAAACAGTTTCCTGTTCAACCTCTGTTAAGATTTTCAGAACTACATCATATTCTTTACTATTTATTATTCACAGCCTTCACTATAGTACTTTCTTTTAAAAGTTTGAATCAAACCCTCTCTCCCCTAGGAAGATTTTCTGTGTGTTCTAGTTCAGGTCTTCCTGCTATATATTCCCATAACAACCTGTATGCTCCCTTTTTTGTAACACTCATCACACCTGAAATAACTAATGACAGTTTTCCCACTGATTATAAGCTTCACTAGGGCAGGAGCCATGTCTGTTTTGATCGTTGTTGTATCCCCAACATCTAGCACAGTACTTGGCACATAAGTATATATTGTGGGGTATACTGACAAAGAGACAGAAAGATGAACAGAATTTAACAAACATCTACTATAGTCTCTGAACTCTTTCCTTAAACTGTAAATAAGATTAAGTGATTTTCGCTTTTCTATTTTTGTGATGGTAGTTCTGGATTTATAATTGTCTAATGTATACAGTACAATTTTCAGACTTGACAACAGAAGATAGCTAAAATTCTATGTCAGTTAAATTATTTTTATCAAGATCCAATTTATTCTATATTCTTTAAAACATAAAAAACTAGTATCTTTAATTTGATGAAAAAAGAGCACTTAGTTTGATTGGACACTATCAGAAGACGTTAACCAAGAGATACATACTCTGGACCTTCCATCTTTACATTTGCATGGATGAGTCTGCATATTTGTAAAGGTTAATTACTTAATCTTGAATCTGATCATCAAGTTATTTATAAAAATATTAAAATAAAATAGCAAATTCCCTTACCCAGGTCAACAAGTCTTCTCCAATTTGATCAATAACAGAGGTATCATTCCTCTTTCGAACAGCCTTCATTTGTTCATTCAACCCAACTACAGGGGAAAAATAAAATGGAAAAAAAAAAATCAAGCATATTCTCATTTCAGACTGAGTTACTGGTAGTATCAAGAACTTAAATTTTCAAAAAAAGGACTTTCAGAGTAGTATAGCTGCTTTTAATCTCCTTAAATATAAATCTGGACACAATTCTTATACATCTAGATATTTGTGTGCTCTATCAGAAAAACAGGTGGCAAAGCATAAAACAATGTGGAACACAGCACATTACATATGCATGTAACTTCAAGACTCTGTCTATACCCATGCTCATAAAGAACTTAAATTTATTATTATTATTATTATTTTTTTTCCAGCTGCCTGTTGGCAGCTCAGCGGCAACTCAGCTCAGGCCGGGCATCGAACTGCTGTTGCTCAGAGCTTGCACTCTTGAGCGAGCTCTTAACCAACTGAGCCACTCGGCTGGCCCAAGAACTTAAATTTAAACAGTGCAGGTAATTCTGCCTACTGTACCTCTCAGAATGTGTATGGGCACAGGCAATAAATATAATGAAGCCTGAACTTGTCAGTGCATGAGGGTGAAACCTAAAATCACCCCCAAAGAAGTAAAAGGCATCAATCTGGTGGGCAGGTGTTGGTAGGTGGTGATGGCATCCTTGATGAAAGAAAGATTAAAAATTAAGGGTCATGAAGAAACAGTTACTGATAAAGAGAACTGATACAACTGTCTACAAAATCCAAGATGAGTACAACCAAGGAAAGCCATTAAGGCAGAATTTTTATATATTTACTCAAGCGTTCCACGCAAAAACAAACAAACAAAACCAATAAAATAATTTAATTCCTGAAAATGATCCCAATAAGGGATTATATACCATATATCACTATTTTCAAAATATATTTATACATATATTATTATTATTATTATACAGGATATATATTTTTAAAAACATACATTGTAATTGATAGGAAATTTTTAAGGGTAATTTTAACTATTCCTGTTTTTCATCATTGACATTAGACCTTAAGTCCTATGTTAACACTTTGTATATAAAAGGCTGGTATGGAGCTTGGGGGCAATAGTCAAAGATCCAATCATTTCTTTATTTATGTTATATGCTCACATATAACACAATTTCAGGAATGCTAACATGGATACATTCACAAGATTTGACTGTTATAGCACCTTTACATACTCTCAATCTTTCATCTATTGTAAATGTTAGGGACAAAGATCAGAGTCAATTTCTCTTACTGTGAAGTTGAAGGATATCTTCCAAGTTAGAAAAAATTTTCCGTAGTTCTGAAGATGACAGAATTCCTTCTCTGGACACTCGCTGATAGAACACCTGATCAAGAACCTTCAGTGTTCGAACATGAGCTCTTTCAGTGTAAAACAATTCTGAGGAGAAGAAAAGGAAATATAAAATGTTGCCTAAGTTTTCTATTACTTAGAATAATTCCATGGGACCAAACATAGGCTTTAGCTGGAATTAGTAGTAAATAAGTTATATAATAATTATTTATAGTTTAGAAAGTATGTAGTATCTCTTAAGTCATCTTCTTGATTTGATAAAAATCTGCTACATACTGGCTCTAAGAGTTTAATACTGCCAAATGAAAAACATCATTCAAAACTATTTTATAATTAAAAGTTAACAGTGTACTCCAAAACTCATCTATCTTTTTACAATAGTACCCACCAATCACAACTACAACATTAGAGAACTATAAGCCCAAATATCATATAGCCTTTAAACAGAGACTTCATCAGCAATAACAGTACTTTGGATTATCTAATTTGCCTATAAACCCTCACTTCTGAGGCCAGACTTATAATTTCATTATGTCTCAATGTTATCAGGGACAGGAAAGATACTTATTCAAATCACATCTTAAAGATATCAGAGGGTACAGCATCCATATCACATCTCTGTCACCTATATATTTGGATAAAATTAAGAACACTGCACTAAGATAAAGGAAGACCTGGGTCCTATCACTTATCAGCTAGATGATCTTGACTAATTACAATCACCCTGAGACTTAGCATTCTCATTTACCATATTTTGCTGTGTATAATGTGCACTTTTTTGCCCAAATTAAGGAAAAAATAAAGACGCACATTATACGAGTTCTGACAATTAAGTTCGAGAACTCGTCCTAGAAAAAGTGCATTATATCTCATTTCTGAATATTGCTATGGTCGTCTTCAAAGTACTCCCCTTGGGAAGCTATGCATCGACACCAGTGCCTAGTCCACCTTTTTGGAACTCTTTTTCTGGAACGGCCATCAGAGCTGTCATCAAATTACCCCTGATGTCCTGAATGTCAACAATGTGTCTTCCTTTCAATATTTCCTTTATCTTCAGGTAAAGAAAGAAGTCATTAGAGGCCAGATCAGGTGAGTAGGGAGGGTGATCCAATGCAGTTATTTGTTTATTGGCTGAAAACTCCCTCACAGACAGTGCATTGTCATGATGAATGAGCCATGAATTGCTGGCAAAAAGTTTGGGTTGTTTTCATCTTTTTCATGCAGCCTTTTCAGCACTTCCAAATAGTAAACTTGGTTAACTGTTTGTCCAGTAGGTACAAATTCATAATGAATAATTCCTCTGGTATCAAAAAAGGTTAGCAACGTTGTTTTGACTCTTGAGTTTGACTGACAGAACTTTTTTGGTCATGGAGATTTGGCTGACTTCCACTGCGCACTTTGATGCTTTGTTTCAATGTCACATTGGTACACCCAGGTTTCATCAGCAGTGATAACACGGCTCAAAACATCGTCTTCCCTCTCCAAAAGTTCTTGGCAAATTTCTGCTCTCCTTTGCTTTTGTTCATCAGTGAGCTCCTTTGCAATCATTTTTGCACACACCTTTCTTATGCCAAGATTTTCGGTTAAGATTTTCTGAACTGTTTCTCTATCGATGTTTACTTGGTCTGTTATGCTTCTCATAGTCAGTTGACGATTTTGATGCATAATTTGATGAACTTTTGCAATGTTTTCATCAGTTCTGCTCGTTACAGGCCGCCCTGACCTCTCTTCATCAGTGATGCATTCTCTCCCCTCAGAAAAACATTTAATCCATTTGCACACTGCTGTTTTCCTCATGGCACTACCCCAAAAACTTGGACTAACAAGTCCCTGATTTCACTTCCACTTTTGCTAAGTTTAACAATAAATTTAATGTTAATATTTGTTCACTGCTCTAATTCAAGCTCAGACATTTTTGCCACATCACACAAAAGCACATAACAACAATAATGAACGCCACTCAGCAAGATACTGCACACATTGACACGAACACAGCTTTGAGACACTTGATATACCAACGTTACGAAACCTTACTGAGCTGTTTGTACAGTGCTGCCAATGTAAGTGCATGGTGGCAAGTTTGCAAACTTTTTTTTAAAGATTTTTATTGGGGAATTGGGGGAAGGGGAACAGACAAGTTGCTGTCCTTTTGTTCTTCAGTCTAGTTGTGGAGGACGTAGCTTCACTGGCCCAAGTTGGCAAAATCATTGTGCTCTTCCTGGGCAAGGAATATCAGTCGCCAGCTTCTGGACGGCCGCTTACTCGGCTGCTGGCCGCTCACGCTGGCTGCTGGCTATACACGGTAGCCCATGGCAACCCACTGCAGCAGGGGTTGCAACCTACGCCGTCGCCAGCGACTCATGGCAGCCCAGCTCCAAGTTGAGCTGTTGTTCAGCATCTTAGCTGTAGAAGGCAGTGTCACTGGCCCTCATATGTGGGATCCAAACTGGGGCCCTCTGGCGTCCCAAGCCAGCTCTTAACCAATGCGCCACTCGGCTGGCCTGGCAAGTTTGCAAACTTAATTGTGACACCTCGTACATGGATCGTACTAACTCCATAGCTATACAATGTTTTTAATTCTTTTATTTATCCTTATGAGTTAAAAGTGTAACTCTAGAAATCAATAATGATATCTATATGCAAAATAATACCCTGCAATATGATAACTGGTTTTGTTGAACTTATGATGAACTTGCAATGATGAAGAGTTCTTGGCCCTCTCTGATGCATAAATATCATAAATTTGTTACCGGTACATAAAATTTCTTGTACATCGTATATATTCTTGTGTTTTGTAATTATTTGTTACATAAAGTTTCTTGTACCATAATATGTTAAAAAATAAATGCTAATATTCCTTTATAATACCAAAAAAACTACCTAAATGTAAACAAATAAAAATTTTAATTAAAAAATTGAAACAAAAGATTTTTTTCCCTGAAAGTTTGGGCCAAAAATGTGGGTGTGCATTATACACAGGCGTGCACTATACAGAGCAAAACAGGGTATAATGTATACATAAAATTAACTTAGCCTGAAAATAAAATGATTGGGCACATGTTGTCTCAATGACTTTTCAAGTTTAAGACCTATAATACTATGAATCTTAAATATCCAAAAGGCTAAACACCATTTCCTTTTAAATTATCGATAAGAATCATACAGTATAGCATTTCTTGAGTTGAAAAGTTCGAAGATCCTCTATCTAGTTTAATTTCCTCACGTTTAAAACAAAAGGCAAGCAGAAACTTTGAAGCAAACACCAAGCTGCAGGGGATTTTTTTTTTCTCTAATAAAACTATATATATGTAAACAACAACAAAAATCAATTAAACTCACCATTAATTACTTCCTGTCTTTTGATCTCACAAGGCTTTAGTCCCAGTAACACTTCTCGACTAACTAACTGTTGCCAGTTGGGTGGATCTGTCTCTAAGTCATTTTCAAACTGTTCATCCTCACTTTGACTTTCACCAAAAGCAATGCTGTCAAACCTAATGAAAAAAAAAAAAATTTGAGGACATCAGGTGGACAATGGAAAATAGTACAAGTCTAGTAAATCAGTCAGATTTTTTAATTATTGCTTAAACACAGAGTCTAAAACATCATCCTTCTTATAAAATACTTTACATGTGTTATACACACCTCTATAAATACTTTTTAAATGATTTCTGCTTATTAAGAACTCTCTTTTATACTATCCAACATATTTGCGTACAATTTCCTTTTTTAAAATTAAAAAAAAATTTTTAATTATAGTTGACATACAATATTATATGAGTTTCAGGTGTAGAACTTAGTGATTAGACCTTTATTTTTTACGAAGTAATCGACTGGTAAGTCTAGTACCTATCTAACCATACATGCGTAGTTATAATATTATTGACTATATTCCTTTATCGTGTACTTTATATTTCTGTGACAATTTTTATAACCGCCATTTTGTACTTCGTAATCCCTTCACCTTTTTCACCCATCAAACCAACCCCCACCCCCCATCTGGCAACCATCAATTTGTTCTCCATATCTACGAGATTGTTTCTGTTTTGTTTGTTCATTTATTTTGTTTCTCAGATTCCATATGTAAGTGAAATCATATGGTATATGTCTTTCTCTTAATGACTTAGCATAATACCATGTTGTCGCAAATGGCAAGATTTCATTCTTTTTATGGCTAATATTTCATTGTATACATGTTCTATATCTTCCTTATCAATTCAAATATCAATGGGAGCCAAGGTGACACCACACAAATGGCGGCAGTGAGGTGGGCTCGCTGAGTTCTCCCTTGGAAATTACCACAAATTGAACAGCTATAACTCATCAGAGGAATCTCTGCTCATCACACAGAACAGCTAAGAGACTCACACAAGGACTACTTGAAGGTGGGCAAACCAGGCGAATGAGGGAACAGAGAAGGGAGGCGGGCGACGCAGCCCGCATCTGCGGCTGTGGAGACGTGGGGCCCCAAGAAGCAGGCTGGAGATTATTACAGCAGCAAGGCGATGGGCTCCCTCCCTACACACCACAGGCCTGCCAAGAGTTCAGGATAGAGCACAGCGGTGCCCAGTGTCCGAAGCAGAAGCCTCAGCTCAAAATTGCAGTTCGGCTCTCTCAGTCAGTCAGAAAGCAAAAATAAACAACTAACTCCATGACCAGGACTCCACCCCCACCCTCCACCCCATCCCTTCCAGAGTCTTAAACTGGTCCCTGAATGGAGGAGTAGTGTCAGATTACAGAGGTGCAGCCCCCCTCCCCCCAGGAAATGAAAATAGCCAGCTTGCAGCTGTGACCTAGGGAAGTGACTATCTACCTATCCCCCACCTTTTTCTGGGCAGCTCCAGCTGCGGAGTCACACAGAGCCCAGCAGCGGGTGACAGAGGCAGCACTGAGGTTTCAGCAGCTCGGAAATCTCACGCCCTTCACTGCCCCCAGTGGAAGGAGCCCAAAGACCCAGGAGACCTGCACAAAGGTCAGAAGGTGGCTGGCTGCGGTGCTCTCAGCTGCGAGAGCAGAAACTGCGCTGACTTTGTAAAAACTACCAACCACGCCTCATAGCCCCACTCATCTAGAACTGCATCGCCAGAGTCACTCTGGGTGCCAGGTGACCATCTCTGCATCCATAAGACACAGAGGATCTTTTGTACAGCTAAGGGAAAACTGGAGATAGCATCGTGGACTTAAGCCAAGACTAGTGCTGTTTTTTTCTATTTTATTAGTTTCATTTTTAGTTTCTTATATATGTGTGTATATATATGTGTGTGTGTATACATATGTCCATATATATGTGCATACACGCATAGATACATATATATTTTTTTCTCCCTTCTCTTTTCTCTGCTCTACTTTTCCTCCTTTCCATTTTTCTGTATTTTTTTTTGAGTTGCTATTTTGTTTGTTTTGTTTCTTTTGTTTTTTTGTATTTTTGATACTTCTGTGCATGTTGAGTGTTGGTTGTTGGTTGTTTTTACTTGTGAGTGTATTTGGTTTTTTTGGTGGTTGTTGTCATTATGCTTGTTGATTGTTTTGTTCTGAAACTGCTCTGCACCAGGACCCAGCCAAAGAGGCAAAAGAATCATCATACCCAGAGGCCAACTCTAAACCAAACCAGAGCATTACCAGGTTTGACCTAACAATAGATAACACCCAAAGGGAATTCTCTACAGGCATAAGAGCCCATAGAGGCCAAACCTCATCTGAGGGGTCAACCCCCACACAGCAGCTCATACACTGTGGACATAGCCAATTCTCACAGCTAGTCAGCCTGGAAGTCAATCCCACCTACTGACAAGCCAAAAGCAATCAAAGCTCAACTTCAACAGGAGAAGATACATGACACAAGGGACACCTCTGGAACACAAGCACAGAATAGGGAGACTGAGCAATTAAAATATAAAGGACACATACCACATAAGTCCAACCAGCAAAGACTGAGAGACCTAGGGGATCTACCTAATACATCGAAGCAAGCACAAACAGTCAGGCAGAATGGGGAAACAAACACATCCTATTAAAAGAACAGAAGAAACCTCCAATTAGTGGAACTAAATGAAATAGAGGCAACCAACCTATCAGAGGCAGAGTTCAGAACACTAATGATAAGAATGCTTAAGGAACTTAGAACATAAAGGATAGAGAAATCATGAAACACAACCAGTAAGAAATAAATACAATTACTGAAATAAAGAACACTTGAAAGAATTACCAGATTAGATGAAACAGAGGATAGAAGCAGCGACTTAGAAGATAAAATAGCACAGATCACCCAAGCAGAACAAAAAGAAAAAAGAATTAAAAACAATGAAAATAGTTTAAGAGACCTGTGGGACAACATCAAGTCCAACAACATTCGCATCATAGGAATACCAACCAGAAAGGAGAAGAGAGGGAGCAAGGGATCGAGAATGTATTTGAAGAAATAGTGACTGAGAACTTCCCTACCCTGGTGAAGGAAATCGACATACAAGCCCAGGAAGTGCAGAGAGCTCCAAACAAGCTGAACCCAAACAGGTCCACACCAAGACACATCATAGTAAAAATGGCAAAGGTTAAAGACAAAGACAGGGTCCTAAAAGCAGCAAGAGACAGGCAACAAGTTACTTACAAGGGCACCCCCCCTAAGAATATCAGCTGACTATTCTATGCAGGCCAGAAGGGAGTGGCAGGAGGTATTCGAAGTGGTGAAAAACAAAGGCCTACAACCTAGATTGCTTTATCCAGCAAGGCTATCATTTAAAATTGAAAGAGAGATAAAGAACTCCCCAGAAAAGAATAAGCTAAAGGAATTCATTACCACAAAGCCAGCATTGCAGGAAATGTTAAAAGGGCTTCTTTAAGCAGAAGAAAGAGGAAAACAATCTAACTAATGAAGACCAGAAATACAAATACAAAAAAGCAATAACTATGTACCTATCAATAATCATGTTAAATGTAAATAAATGGATTAAATGCTGCAATCAAAAGACATAGGGTGGCTGAATGGATAAAAAGGAAAGACTTTTGCATATGCTGTATACAAGAGACTCACCTCAGATCAAAAGACACACACAGGCTGAAAGTAAAGGGATGGAGTAAGATATTTCATGCAAATAGAAATGAGAAAAAATTTGGAGTAGCAATACTTATATTGGAAAAATAGACTTTAAATTGAAGAATATAATAAAAGACAAAGAAGGGCACTACATAATAATAAAGGGATCAATCCAACAAGAGGACATAACCCTAGTAAACATCTATGCACCCAACATAGGAGCACCTAAATATATAAAATAGATATTGACAGACATAAAGACAGAGATCAACAGTAACACTATCATAGTAGGGGACTTCAACACACCACTGTCAACAAGAAACAGATCCTCCAGATAGAACATCAATATGTAAACAGCGGCCTTAAATGACACATTAGACCAGTTATCGATATTTTCAAAGCATTTCGCCCCAAAGCTACAGAATATACATTCTTCTTAAGCGCACAAGGAACATTTTCCAAGATAGACCACATGTTAGGCCACAAAACAAGCCTCAGTAAATTTAAGAAAACTGAAATCATATCAAGCCTGTTCTCTGACCATAGTACTATGAAATTAGAAATCAATTACAAGAAAAAAACTGGAAAACACACAAATACATGGAGGCTGAATAACATGTTACTAAATAGCAAATGGATCAAAACTGAGATCAAGGAAGAAATCAAAAGATACCTCCAGACAAACTAAAATGAAAATACGACAACCCAAAATCTTTGGGATGCAGTGAAAGCAGACCTAAGAGGAAAGTTCATAGCAATGCAGGCCTATCTAAAGAAACAAGAAAAATCTCAAATCAACAAGTTATCCTTACACCTCAGGGAGCTGGAAAAAGAACAGAAAAATAAGCCCAAAGGGAGTACAAGGAAGGAGATAATCAAGACCCGAGCGGAAATAAAATAGAGACCAAAAAACAATACAAAAGATCAATGAAACCAAAAGCTGGTTTTTTGAGAAGATAAAAAAAAATGGACAAACCTCTAGCTAGGCTCATGGAAAAAAAAAAAGACTCAAATTAATAAAATCAAGAATGAAAGAGGAGAAGTGACAACAGACACCATAAAATACAAAAAATTTAAGAGAATTCTATGAGCAACTAATGCCAACAAATTTGACAACTGGAAAAAATGGATAATTTTCTAGAAGCCTACAACTTTCCAAGTAACTCAAGAAGAAACGGAGAATCTGAATAGACCAATTACTACCAAGGAAACTGAATCAGTAGTCAACAAGTTCCCAACAAACAAAAGCCCTGGACCAGATGGCTTCACATGTATATTTTACCAAACAATCAAAAAAGAATTATCACCTATTCTACTCAAACTATTCCAAAAAATGCAGAAGGAGGGAAGGCTACCAAAGTCTTTTTATGAGGCCACTATCACCCTGATCCCCAAATCAGACAAAGACATTACAAAAAAAGAAAACTATAGGCCAATATCCCTAATGAACATAGATGCAAAAAT